AAAAAAAAAAAACCCACCCACATTTCACAGATTGCATGAACAAGAGACTGTATTCTGTCCTTCCAGAAAAACTCCCTCATCTTCCTTTTCTTGACTCTTCTGAGATCAGTATGCTCTGTCCTGGTTAACAGCTCTCCAAATTTCCCAGATACTTACTTACTTACTTACTTACTTATTTATTTATTTATTTATAAAGGTTTATTTTTTTTTTAATTTATTTTTTTTTTAACGTTTATTTATTTTTGAGACAGAGAGAGACAGAGCATGAACGGGGGAGGATCAGAGAGAGAGGGAGACACAGAATCTGAAACAGGCTCCAGGCTCTGAGCCATCAGCACAGAGCCCGATGCGGGGCTGGAACTCACAGACCATGAGATCATGACCTGAGCCAAAGTCGGACGCTCAACCGACTGAGCCACCCAGGCGCCCTACCCAGATACATATTTAAGGTTCTGTATCTATGTGACATTGGAACTCACATGATCTTTTTTGAATTTTCTGTACTACATCTCTATATCTTTTACATAATTTCTACATCTTAAATTTTTTTTTAATGTTTACTTATTTATTTTTCAGAGAGACAGGCAGAATGCGAGTGGGTTAGAGGCAGAGAGAGAAGGGGACACAGAATCTGAAGCAGGCTCCAGGCTCCGAGCTGTCAGCACAGAGCCCGACACGGGGCTCGAACTCATGAGTTGTGATATCATGACCTGAGCCGAAGTCGGATGCTCAACCAACTGAGCCACCCAGGTGCCCCCATAATTTCTACTTCTGATAATAAAGCTTTTAATAAAAACAGATCACCTGAACATAGTCAACATGGCCCACAATATCAGTATGTTTTCATTACTGAAAAAACTAGGTTTGCTGAATTTTAAAAAGGTCTCAGAAGAAATTCACCTGAATTAGAGTCATTTGTTGTACTTTACATAGTTGTCTTCTTAAAATGCCACAGGTATATGTTAAATATTGTGACTGATAACACCACCGCAAAATATGCTAACCTAACTTCTTTTGGCAACAACATAAATGTTTTTAAACTTAAGTTAAAGAGTTACCTAAAGAAGTCTTTAAATGATACTTTGCTGATGAACAATGGTTAGTATCAGTGGGATTCTTACCTGTCTGTGCATGGTCTGAATGCATGGATGACTGATCCATGGGCATCATTGGTTCCTACAAACATTTCCAAAGATACAGTAATTTGGTGGATTCTTTTTAAATCCCAATACCTCTAATTAATTCAGAAACAACATTATTTTGATGAGACACAGCGTATTAAAATTTAAGCTTGAAAGAATATAACTTAATAAGTGAGAATTGTTTTTACTATATTTAATTTACTTTAACTTTATTATATGAAACCATGCAATATTCTTGTGAATGAGGTAACATTAGTCACATTTTACAGATAACAGAAGAAAGAGAATACTAACTTCAGACCATCAATTAGCAATCAAATTAAACTTCTATATACTCTCATCTGTTTCTCTTCTACACTATTCTTCCTTTGAGCTCCATACATTCACTTTACATCTCTAACAAAAGAAGTCATTAGTACATACGTTCCTTAGCTGAGTCCAGAGATGGACTTCAAAATGGTCTATAAACCTAAAATTTCATGGGTTTCCCATTTTTCTGAAGATTCTCAAAAGTTCCAATGATCCAAATAAGGAAAAGACATATCTTCTAGAAACTGACTTAACCCACTAACTGCCAATAACCTCAGGAAAAATGTTAACTCAAACTAAAGTGCTACTAATTCATTAATCTTGGATCCAGGTTTAAGGATTACCAGCAAGAAAGGGTAAACTTGAGAAAGAACATTAAGTTATACAGTTATAGTTTCTTTTTTTAGATTTTTTTTTTAAAGTAATCTCTACACCCAACATGGGACTCATTTCAATCAAGAGTCACTTGCTCTACTCACTGAGCCTGCCAGGCTCCCCTACACCATTGTAATTTTAAGGTTGTCTTAAAGACAGGCCTTTGGATTTTTCATTGTGTTTAACATCCATCCTAAAATATCAATATAATCACTAATCCTGCCCCTTTCTTCCTACATTTATAAATGTACACAAGTCATCCCATCACCTAAGAATACTCAAGAATATCAACAGTACCCTAAATAAATTATGTTCACAAATTTTGGCCTTTGTTTTTTTTTTCTTAAGATGGGATTTTCACCTCCCTAACTACAAACCCATTCCTGAGCTTATACGAACAAGCTAAATAATTCTGATAGCCAAGAGTCACTAATAATAACCTATTTTCACAATGTCCAAAGAAGGTACTATGAATAAACATGGTACACTCATTCTAGAAGGCAATTTAGAAAGATGTCTCCAGATCTCTTTAAAAATGCATATCCTTTAGGCCAGTAATTCTACTTCTGGATCCTTAAGGAAATAATAAGATTTATTTATCAGAAAGTTCATGATGATTTTCTTTACAGGGAAATTCAGAAAACAAGTCAAATGTTCAACCATAGAGAACACATGAAGTAAATCATGATACAGACATATAACAAAATATGCTAAAATTGATGGGGATATACACAGACAGATATAGAAAGATGACCAAAATACATAGTTGAGTGAGAAAAATGGGTTGAAAACAGTATATATATGATCTCACTTTTGCTAAAAAGTATGTAAAAGAATGAGACCAAATCAAACATTATGCACATTCTGATGGATAAACACCCCAACTTCTATGAAGCAGTCTCAAAAACAACCCACAGAAACCAAAACCTGGAATCTAATTATAGGTTCAACTATAACATACAGAAAATAAAGAAGATGGGGAAACATTTTAAACATAACCATGGAGAAGCAAAGAGAGAAATTCTGCAACACTTTAAATGACAACATAATTTCTTCTACATTTAAATTTTAAGGGAGACAAAAGCAAGAGAGAGAAAGAGATGGAAGCATCAGTAAGTTAGAAAATATCTAGGACACATATCAATCAACTGCAAATATGGACTTCAGTTGGATCCTAATTCAGAATGAAAACTGTAAAAACAAAATTTTCACATTTATGAGGCAACTGAAATTTTGAACACTGCCTGGATGAGTATTTGATATAAGGAATTTTTCAGTTAGTTTTTAAAAGAGTTCTTATCTTTTAGATTTGTTTCAAAATTATATAGGATGACAGCAGGTCATTTATGGGGGGTGTATAGCTGAAATAATATCACTCATGAGTTGATACCCGTGGGAGCCGGATGATTGATATATGGAAGTTCATTACACTGTTATATCTACTCTTAAAATGTATTTAAAAGTTTTCCATTATTCTATATGAATACAATTATTAGATTATAGATTATTCTATATAGATTATTCTATAATCTATTCTAATAGATTATTCTACATCCATATAGAATGGAAAAATTTTAAATGTTTATGCATATAAATCTGCAAAGAAAAAGGTCTGGAAGAATATACACCAAGACAATTACCTTTAGATAGGACATTTCATGGGGCATTTTTATTTTTATATTTTTAATTTAACTTTTAATTTGTCAGTAGGCTTCATGCCCCATGCAGAGCCCAATGCAGGGCTTGAACTCACAATCCTGAGATCAAAACCTGAATGAGATCATGAGTCAGATGCTTAACCAACTGAGCCACCCAGGTGCCCCTCATGAGGGATTTGTATTTAACTTCTCTTTATTCATTTGTATTCTCTATTTATTCTATAACCAACATGTTTTAATTGTATATTTAAAGAAAAAGTAAAAATAAAATTTTTTAATTCAAAAACTCTCTACCTAGTAATCTCATACTTTAAATAGCAAACATGAAGCCTCTGATTCTTCTTACCTGATCTCTGTTTGGTGTGGATGCTCCAGAACAACGGGAGCTACAAACTAATGAGTTTGGCTTAAAGAAGAGAAAAGAGTCTCTTAAATGGTTTTCCCTACCTCTTCCTAATTTAGACCAGATGATTTTGTAGCAAATTAAATAAAGAAGTTACCTATATACTACAAATTTGTAGTAACAATTCCAAAACTCACCATAGGTCAACTGGACTGTAAAGTTACATTCTGTAACAACACTGTTAAAACTGTGATTCCTTAGCACCTCTGTATTTTAGCCCTCTGTTCTAGTAGTGTTACTGAGAATGCTCTATTAAAAAGAGACAACTGTGTCTTACCGGTGGCATAGAATGCCGCCCACATTCAATTGTGACAAGTTTGTGGCACTTCTTATGAACCAGGAGTTTGCAGTTGATGCACTTATATCCCTGGCGTCCAAGTCCCCATATTCGGTCAGTGCAGATAGCACAGTGGGCACGCTGGAAAGAATAATTCAGCAGTATTTTATTAACCAAAAGACAGTCATAATTATTTGCCAACATTCTGCTCATAAAATAGTGAAAATAAGTGGCTTTCTTCTCTAACTCAGTTCCCTTCATCATACATAAGTTTTCCAAAGCTAGAATAGGAAAATTAAACAGAAAAGAGCTTTGTTTGCAAGAGTGAAATTTGCAAGCATGTTGTTTTCTAACTTCAAGAATTTTTAGTCTTCACATAAATTCAGAGTATTGAAAATAGTAAAAGTGAATTAAACTTGAAAACCATATGACAGAAAAAGCTATGCAAGGACTCCCAAGCAAACATAAAGCTTCCAGAATGTTCAGAAGTCAAAGCAAAGCCCTGCTCTCTTAAAGAGTAATACCTAAAGTAATTATTTCAAAGGTTTTCAAATATTAGTGCTACTGAGAAAAGGACTTTTGTAAACCTCAGGTGGTAGCTTTTATTTACATTAATGAATCCAGAACATGGCACTAGTTTTACAATGGAAATGGGATCCATATATTTGTAGTTATCAAGTGGAGTGAAAATATGGACTACTGGAAATTTCTTTCAAACTTTGGCTCTGCCACTTACTAGCTGTGTCATCTTGGGCAAGTTTCTTAATTGCCCCATACCTCAGTTTTTTCACCTATAAAATAGAAATATATAGTACCTATCTCAAGTTGTTGTAAAGATTAAATGAGTTAATATATGTCAAGCATTTGAAAAACCACCTGGTACATAGTTAAAGCTAGGTCAGTGTTTTGCAATTATTATATTCAAAACTGAAAGTTAAAATTACAACATTAACTGGTTTGCAAAATAAACTTTGCTTATTTTCTGGATGTTTGGAATTATACTTAAAAAGTCAACTTTCGGGGTACCTGGGTGGCTCAGTTGGTTAAGAATCTGACTCTTGATTTTGACTCAGGTCACGATCTCATGGTTCATCGGATCAAGCCCCACATCAGGCTCTGTGCTGACAGCATGGAGCCTGCTTGGAATAATCTGTCTCCCTCTCTCTCAGCCCCTCCTCCACAAATACATGCACACATGCTCTCTCTCTGTCTCTAAATAAATAAAACTTAAAAATAAATAAAATAAAAAGCCAACTTTACTTTAGCTAGGATAACCATGTAATTAATCATCCACTCTGGAGCAGTTTTAAGAAGGGAGAGGCTATTAAAAATTATCTCAAGGGGCGCCTGAGCGACTCAGTCGGTTAAGCGCCGACTTCGGCTCAGGTCATGATCTCGCAGTTAGTGGGTTCGAGCTCCGCATCGGGCTCTGTGCTGACAGCTCAGAGCCTGGAGCCTGCTTTAGATTCTGTGTCTCCCTTTCTCTCTGCCCCTCCCCTGCTCACACTGTCTCGGTCTCTCTCTCAAAAATAAACAAACATTTAAAAAAAATTTTTTTAATTACCTGGAGATAACAGGAATACTGCCCTCAGGCAAACTGGGAATGTTGTCACCCTATTTACTCCTTTAAAAGGGAAAACAAGACTTTACAGTAGTGAGGGAAAAAATAGATATCTCAAATTATCAAACATTTAAAAAACTATGGTTTACCCGGTTAAAACGCTTGGCTTGAAAAGTGTGGCCATTTGCACAATAAAGCTTTCTCCAGCGGCGTGCACCTCTGCGGTAGATGGATTCTGAAGAGAGATAAAAAGTTAAAAAAGAAAAAAGGAGAGCAAGTGTGAGTAAAGTCTTTTTATAATTAAGTGTGTGATTTTTTCATGATATTCACTGCAAGAAAAAAAAATATTTGGATAAAAACAAAGTGAAAAACTAAAATAGATGCATCGAGGAACTAAATGAAAACAAAGCCCATGGAGTAAAAGTGTTCAAATAACCATTCGGGCTTTTGTGTTTTTTAACTTTCCCGCAACTTTTATTTTGAAAAATTTTAAGCCCACAGAGAATCGACAGAATAGAACAAGAAACACCTGCATCCTTCACACAGATTTACCAATTACTAACATTATGCCACCTTTGCTTTCTGTCCTCTACACCTGCTTTTTTTCTTGGAATCATTTAAAAGTAAGTTGCAGACATACCACTTCACCCTTAAACACCTAAATATCCACTGCCTTAGATTAAGGACATTCCCCCTAATTCTGCTTAGGCACAATACCGTTACCATGATTGAGAAAATCAGCATTAATTCAATCGTCACCTAACATACAGCTCATAGGCAAATTCCCCTATTTGTCCTCAGAGTGTATTTCATAGCTTTCTTTTTCTCTCCAGCATCCAATCAAGATTTAAGCATTGCAGGGGCGCCTGGGTGGCGCAGTCGGTTAAGCATCCGACTTCAGCCAGGTCACGATCTCACGGTCCGTGAGTTCGAGCCCCGCATAGGGCTCTGGGCTGATGGCTCAGAGCCTGGAGCCTGTTTCTGATTCTGTGTCTCCCTCTCTCTCTGCCCCTCCCCCGTTCATGCTCTGTCTCTCTCTGTCCCAAAAATAAATAAACGTTGAAAAAAAAAAATTAAAAAAAAAAAAGATTTAAGCATTGCATTTGGTTGCTATACCTTTTTTGTCTCTTTAATGGATGCTGAAATATTCACAGTGCCGTATTTGTTGTTGAGTCTTCGTGATGTTGACTTTTTTTTTTTTTTAACAGGGTCCGTTGTCTTACGTTATGTCCCACATTCTGGATTTGTCTGTTTCCTCATTAGAATCAGTATTAAATACTCTTGGCAAAAATAATACATAGGCGATATGTGTTGCTTATTGTATCACATTACGGGATAGACAAATGTCAGATTGCTGACTCCCACTTACTAGTATTTCAGTCACTCCGTTAAAGGCAGTGATTCCTAGTTTTCTTCATTGTAAACGTACATTTTACTTTTCCTAGGTGTTCTATAAGGGACATTTTGCAATTTCAGGAATATTATATTCTCCAATAATCTTTTTTTTTTCACTTTTTTAATGTTTATTTTTTGAGAGAGAGAGAGAGTGTGAGTGGGGGAGGGGCAGAGAAAGAGGGAGACAATCTGAAGCAGGCTCCAAGCTCTGAGCTGTCAGCATAGAGCCCGATGCAGGGCTCGAACTCAGACTGTGAGATCATGACCTGAGCCCAAGTCGAATGCTTTACTGACTCAGCCACCCAGGTGCTCCTCCAATAATCTTTAACCCAATAGTTTTTACAGTAATACTTTTTCTAAACAAATTAAGAGGTTCCAAAAGATCAAATCTAATCTACCTGTGTAATTTTGGTTAAATTGATCACTATTATATACATTGTCTATTAGTCATTAATAGTAATATTCCATAGTGATAGTTAATACTGTGGAAAGATTCCATTAGGTTTTTAAACTCATATTTTAAAGCAAATGTAGCACTGAATTTAAAATTAAGATAAAACAGACCAGTTGAAATGCTCTAAATTAGAAATCTAAAGATGGCATAATACAGAACCCTAAATATAAATGCTTTAATTTTTATTTATCTATTCTGTTAGGAGTAACCAAAGCAGAAAGTTTCTGTTAACAATATCTTAACCTGAAATATCTTCAGAAGCTTTCATGAAACTACAACTCGATATACCTTAAATTTAAGCATATTAATGTTGCCGAGGAATTAAAAGAGCCAAGAGACCATATTAATAGTGATTAATCTTCCTCCATGCTCTAGTTTAGTAACATTTATTATACTGGGGAAGAAGTGGTATCAAATCCCCACCAGCAAATTTTAAAGAGTGAATATGAGCATGAAATATAGTGAAAAGTTAGGAAATTATTACTTTATCTGGAAAGTGTGCTATAGACCCATGATCGATTTGGAGATGGGACTCTGGAACCAAGACCTGCTACAATGGCAAGTCTTCCAAAAATGCAGACCGGACAAAGAACATAGCTGCCTCTCCAACAGCTGTGTAAAGGCAGCCTACCCTGGCTTTGGTCCATCCACCACTGGAACTCCAGCAAAATATTCTCAGCTGAACCCAAACCTAAATTTTTCACTAGAGCTTCAAGGCTCTACCTACTTCCTTATATTTCTCCATCTTCCTATATATATTACACGGCCCCCAATCAACTCTGTATACAAACACAGCTGTTTAATTTTTCCTTCTCACCAGGTTGCATGAAGAGTCACAGAGCTGAAAGTTTAGAACTCTTTCATTTAATTCAAAGGAAAACATTTACTACTTTTCTCTCTAAAGTCATGGATATGGGCAGAAACCACAAATGAAAATGAGTAGTATCCACAAGCAATAATACATTACACTGGATATCAAAGGCAATAACTACTGACTGTATATAAGTGTGTATATATACAAACTTTCAATTCCTCTCACTAATGGGAACCATCAGCTTGGACACTCAAAAGAAAATCCCTAACAATTTCTAACTACACAAGCTCAAGTATTCAGAGATGAAGCATCTTGTTACTTTCAAATGGTACACCAAAAAAATAAAAATAAAACAAGCATGTTTCTTATGTATATACACCTCTGCCTATGTGTGAACACATACAGATGCAGACATATAGGAAACATAGAAAATGTTAATAATTAGTGAATGGAGGCAAAAGATATCTTTGTATCTTTGTTTTCAATGTTTCAACTTCTCCACAAGCTTGAAAATTTCAAAAATTAAAAACTAGGATGAAACATGACTTAAAATTAACTTAATTTTCTCTTCAAACATGCAACAGACACTTATGTCAGTAACTTGTAACTAAGAACTGCCTGATTGTGATCTGGCAAAAGTAGAGTTTAGGCAGTTGCTAAGATATACTAAATTAGACTGAAGAATGGAAAGGAAATCAAACGGACTAAAAGTTCTATTTCTGATTTCTTTTCACTTGTGCCACTGTACCATAAATAACTCTATTCTCAAAAATATGAAGTATATATACACACTCACTATCTTCTCCTGGACAGGGCATTCCAGGACGTTCTGGTACACAAGGGAAGACTGAAAGAAAATAAACTAAAATTAATACAGCATATTTAAAACACACAAATTACATAGAATGCCAAATTCTAATATCAAAAACGTTGACCCAAACTTCAACCTTACCCTCTCTTGACATAAGATACGTAGCATATGGTCAATATTTTTTCAAGGGATCCATTTTACCAAGGCTATATGAAGAAGTTTTTATGAAAGTGAACATCCAAAAACAAATGCATTAGAAGCTCAAATTATTCATTCTACTCCCTGTTAACATTACTAATTGATTCCTTTGTCCTTAGAGAAATTAACTATTTCCTTAAATCTCTGTTGTAGTGTAAAGTTTGCTACAATGAAGAATTAAAATTAAATTACAAAAATGTATACAAATATGAACATAAACCATTACAGTTTTTAAAAGATGTATACTAAATTTAAGAATAAGTTCACAAGATTAACATGTACCCAAATCCAACAAAATATAAGTTTTATCTTATAAACTGTAAATTTATAAACATGTAATTCAGGCCATTTTTATAAAGAGACAGAATATAAAGACATAGTATATTTATGAACTAGACAACCAGCTGTAGTCTGTGATGTACAGAAGGACATGGCTTAATAAAGAATATAGAGTATGGGAAGCACAGTTGCTAACATATTCTTAAAAGTTGAAATATAAGCCAACTTCTAAAAACAGATATGTGATATAGGGTAAAAATAACAAAAGTGGGGTGCCTGGGTGGCTCAGTTGGCTAAGCGTCTGACTCTTGATTTCGGCTCAGTTCATGATCTCACGGTCATGAGATCGAACCCTGTGTCGGACTCTGTGCTGCATGTGGAGCCTGCTTAAGATTCTCTCTCCCCCTCTCTCACTGCCCCTCCCCTGCTTGTGCGTGCTCTCTCTTTCAGAAAACAAAACAAAACTTAAACTATTTAATACTATTGATCAGTCACTTCTTTAAACACTCACTGCAGTTTTATTCTAAAAAGAGATGACCCCCAAAATGGATGACTTACTAAAATTCTGCTAGGATCTCAACAAATTAGACTATGGATCCCTTTGGAAGTCACTATGTCAAATTCTGAAGACAGAAGAATATCAAACTACTCACTTTTGAAAAACACACTGTAAAGAAAAGTATTTGGGAATAATAACAAGGTGTTGACTCATTATACTTATGGGAGATTCATGTTTGTTTTGAGTTTTAAAGAGTTCCCTAGGTCTGGTCTCCAAAAGCTCCTAAAAATGTTTCATGAAATATTGCCAACGAATTGCAATTAAATGTGCCATATTAAGTGGGTTCTACAGTACATAAAAAATTTGAGGGGTAGCACAGAAGAATGAAAAGAACATAGATTTGGAACCAGAAGACCTAGATTCTATAACTCGGTCTACAGTGCACCAGTTACATGATGGCTGAGTTTCGTCTCTTCTTCTGTACCGCAATCCGACTTGCAGGCTTGCAGAAAACTACGTAATCTCTATAACTATGTAAATAGTTTCACTGTTAACCTTCAAATAAAAGAAAGGACATTTAAGATACCTTCTCTTTGGAGATCATTATTGGCACACGTTACAAAACTGCAAGGGAATGACTTAGGAGAATTCCAGTGGGCACTCAATTTTAAATTCTATCCTACACTTTGCTGTGAAAACCTGAGAGATATTCAGTGTAATATCCAAGAAGGCAAGCCCAAATAACAAATTTCCCAAGATTATAAGGTGATTTTATTTTCTCTAGCATTTGAGAGACTAAATCTGAACAATTACATAGCAATGAGGGATAGAGATTAAGCAAATGACATCATGATGTTTTAAAATGGACAAGAATACAGGGTTATTTAAAAAAAAAGTACAGCTCTAGAAGAGTAAGAAATGACTACTCCTTTACCATGAATCAGGAGTTCAGAATCCTTGTTTAGCTCATAAAGCCTAAAGGCTTCTTCTAACTCCAACTGAGATGATACTGTACACGGGTCTCCTAAAAAATATAAAAAGTAAAGTAAAGCAAAGCTCACTTTTTAAATCCTCTAAAATGTGATGTTTAGTAAACAATTTCCATTACATAAAATCTTGAGCAAAAACATAATTTCCATTACATAAAATCTTGAGGAAAAACAATTACATATATACATAAAGTAATATTTGACAAGGACAAGTCTTTAGATACTTAAAATTTTAGCCAATTCTATTCTCTAAAGTAGCTACATAACTTCCATTTCTATTTCCCAAAAATATTACATGAAATTCATAGATACCAAATTTGATACATATAAGCCATTTAATTCTCAATAACATATAAAGTATATGCAAAATATAGCAAACACAATCTACCCCGACCACATTTGGATTGTCACTACAGTATGACTAACTGCCAGGGACAAGTTTTCTGTTACCTATCTCTCTAGAGGAGGAAGTGAAAGTGGTTTCACTGCCACAATATGGTCGGTTAGAGGTCGCCATATAATCATTCTGCCAAATTTTTCCTTCACCTGAGAGCCTGCTCAAGAGGCTCACAGAAAGGAAGCACAGCTACTAACAAGTACTCTGGACTGAACAGCAGTCCAATCTGAGCTGCTTTTAAATGTAAACGCATCATTTTAGTAAATGGACACACAGAAAGACTAAGGAAGAAACACCTTCCTAGTCAACCAGCCAAAGAACTGAGTCACCCTGGCAAAGACTGAGATGGCACATCTCCCTGAATGATGGCATTCCTCAATGAAAAAGTAATTAGATCCCAGTTGGGGCCCGAGCTGGGTCCTCCACACTGCAATGCTTCTGCTCATTCCTGTGGTCACACCAAATGTTACCACACACAAGATGCCACCGGCCCTATCCAAACCTCAGTCACTCTCAGTAGAGAACTATGTCTATTACTCACGAGAGAAAAATGAAGCCATCTCCTTTCCTCCAGTCTCAAAGAAATGAATGCCTCTGTACCTTTCTCCAACTTGGCGATTCCCTTACTGAATCTCTTCCTTTTACCTTCCTCTGGGCCTTATCCCATTAGCCCTTTCAGTTCCATTTGCATTTTTTCTTTCCTTCCACTAGCTCTTCTCAGGCACAGGCATGTTTGAGTCTCCCTCTCAACAATCTCCCTCACACTCGGGTTGCCATTCCATTGTAGCCACACCCTCAAGAGCAAACCCTTGAGTGAAACTGGAGGGGGTGGGTGAGAAGAAGGGGAAAAATATAGAGTAGGGCTTTTGATCTTTGACTTCTTACTTTTCTTTTGTACTTTTTAAATCACGGGTTTACAATATTTTAGATTTATTAGAAACAACTTTTTAAAATTTATTTATTTATTTATTTTATTTATTTTATTTTTTTAACGTTTATTTATTTTTGAGACAGAGAGAGACAGAGCATGAATGGGGGAGGAGCAGAGAGAGAGGGAGACACAGAATGGGAAGCAGGCTCCAGGCTCTGAGCCATCAGCCCAGAGCCTGACGCGGGCCTCGAACTCATGGACCGCGAGATCGTGACCTGGCTGAAGTCGGACGCTTAACCGACTGAGCCACCCAGGCGCCCCTAAAATTTATTTATTTTGAGAGAGCGAGAGAGCTAGCACATGCGCACGGAAGCAGGAGAGGGGCAGAGAGAGGGGGAGAATCCCAAGCAGGTTCTGCATTGTCAGCACAGAGTCTGACGCAGGGCTCCATCTCCCAGGCTGTGAGATCATGACTGCGCCGAAATCAAGACTCAGATGCTTAACCGACTGAGCCACCCAGGCACCTCTGGAAGTAACTTTTCTTGAGGTGCCTGCTGACTCAGTCAGTTAAGCGTCCGACTTCAGCTCAGGTCATGATCTTGTGGTTCAGGAATTCGAGCCCCGCGTCAGGCTCTGTGCTGACAGCTGAGAGCCTGCTGGAACCTGCTTCAGATTCTGTGTCTCCCTCTGTCTGCCCCTCCCACCGCTTGTGCTCGCTCTCTCTCAAAAATAAACAATTAAAAAATTTTTTAGAAATAACTTCTCTTAATATTCAGAGTGACCCCACCCTGCTTTCTCCATGTTCCTGTCCTCCATGAATTTCTCAAAATTCTGCTATCAGGTTTTAGTCCAAACACTCTACTAAAACTGCTATATCCAAGGTCATGAAAAGAGCTGCTAAAACCAATAGCATCTTTTCTGTCTTTATTCTAATTGATCTCTCTATAGCATCTAACAAAGTTCCCTACTAACCATCTATAGGATAGAACTGCATCTAGGTTTCTAAAACACCATTCCCCTGGTTTACCAACTCTATTTTAACTTTTCATTTTGGAAATCTTCAAACATGTTACCAAATTTTGCTTCCCCCTGCATATCCACTCACTTATTCCCTTCCACCATGGCATTGTGAACAAATCCTTATAAGTCTAGATTAAAATTCCTTAATATGATCACAATATCATTATACACCTATAAAAACTAACAAAAATTCACAATAAAAATCCGAACATGACCGTATGCAAAAGAATAAAGTTGAACTTCTATCTTACACCATTAACAAAAATTAACTCAAACCTGATCAAAGACTGAAATGCAAGAGTGAAAAGTACAAAACTCATGGAAGAAAACATAGGGAGAAAGCTTTATGACACTGGATTTGGCAACGATTTCTTGGCTATGACACCAAAAGCAAGGCAAGGAAAAAACAAATGACCATTTCTCCAAAGAAGATACAGAAATGGTCAATGAGCACATGAAAAGATGTTCAGTATCACTCATCATTAAGAAAATCAACAAGACACCACCTCATTGTGATGAGGTTACACAGAGAGGGAGAACCAACTAGGCCAGTATCCCAGATGAGCCTCTATGTCACTCCAGACCCAGCTGCCATATGACTGCCACTGCATGAGAGACCTCATGTGAGACTAGCACAGCCAGTCAACTGAGACCAGTGTGAGAGATTACAAAATAAAGTGGTGGGACTGGGGCGTCCTACAAGTAATCTGGTGGCTCAGTCAGTTAAGCATGTGACTCCTGATTTCTGCTTAGGTAACAATGTCACAGTTCCTGGGTTCGAGCCCTGTGTCGGGCTCCGTGCTGGGCATGTAGCCTGCTTAAGATTCTTTCTCTTTCTCTCTCTCTCTCACAAAAAAAAAAAAAAAAAAAAA